GCCATACCCCGCCGACGCCCTTCCTCGGTCCCACAGATACCAGTGCTAAAACTCACTGACGTCCCCCAGAGCTGGGGTAGGGGTAGGAAGCGAGCCGGCCGGTGCAGTATTGGGGGGGTCGTGTGAGATCCGTGCCTGTTGTGTGCCTGTTGCTTCACCCGTGGGCTGTGAAGGTTGGACCCAGCGATGCCTGCCCTAGGCCCCGTCGAGGCGGATGGGTGCATGCACGGCTTCTCCAGCTGCCGGGGGACGAGGCCGCATCGCACTAGGCAGATGGCGTTGAGTTAGGTAGGAAGCTCTTGGGACGCGTTGGAGGTCCCTTCCTCATGTTAGGGGTGCCTTGCAGTTGGTTGCAAAGCCAGCAGAGATGCGACCTGCCTCTGGCTGCCACGAGCTTAATCTGGCTTCTTTCCGTGCCCCATGGGTTTGCGATCTGTGGGGCTCTGAGTCCTTTTGCGCCGGCCTTGACTTTCCAGCGTGCACCGGTGTCCGTACGGGGCTTCTCCACCTCGTCCCCTGGTAATCGGCAGCTCCGGCTCCCCCCACCTGCGATAGAGAAGCACACGGTGAAGCCGCAGACTGGCCTTTTGGCTTCTCTCCAGGCGCTTTTGCAGACGACACGAGCTAGGCCTGCGCTCGAGCTCGGTGAACAGCTCAGCCCCACGCGAGCGCTCCCGTCGTTTCTCTCTTCTGCTGCTCCCCTTTTCTTTCCAGGGAGATCCTGCTTTCCAGATCCATGAGCACATTTGGGCGTTCCTGGCTCTCTGCTCTCTGCCAGCCCGCGCCGAGCTCTGCGGTTCGGATTTTAAGGTGCGTGACACCCCCGCCTCCAGGACAAAGCCTGATATCCTCACGCGAGTTTCTGCATTTCCCAGAGGCTGAGAGATTTTGGAAACCTTGGACCTTTTTTGTTCACAAAAAGGGGCCTTAAAGTATCCCGACGTCCCTCCTGGTCAGGGGGGTCAAGTCCCAGGCTGATGCAGCCAAGACCCCAGCTCCCCAAGATGCTTCATAAGCCGGCGTCCTGCTCTTTACTAGCCGTGAGCGCACTTGAACTTCGTGGAGAGATGAGAAGGGGGCATCTCTTCCGGCTTCCTTCTTGCCGGCCAGCCTTATTGCCTCTCTCCCCAGCTCGAGACCCACGACGGTCAACATGGGAGACCAACACTAGAATATCTTCCCCTCCCCGTTGCTTTACAACTTCTTTGCCTCCATACCCACGTCCCCAGCCCCCTTCCCGTCCCCAGCGGCCTTGTCGGGCATCCTCAAAGATGACACTATCCCTCCCGAATAATGCAACCCCCCCCGCCCCCCGCCGCAGAGAGCTTGGAGCGTTGCCCGAACAGTTCTTCACCCATTTCTTCTTTTAACCTTGACGTGTCTTGTGAAGTAGAGAGAAGTTTCTGTGTCTTAAAGGAAATTGCAGTTTAACGAGGACAACTTTTTTCTCCTTTTCTTTTCTCGGCTTGTTTTGTTTTGTTTTGTTTTAGGGGCATCATTTAACCAAAAAAAAAAAGAGAGAAAGTTGAAAGGGTCTTTTTTTTTTTCCCCCCCTCCGTCTTTGCCAAGAGCGGGTTCGTATCGAGTCCACCCACCAGCAGCGTCGGGGTTGGAGTGGGTTACGGATCGGGTCTGTGCCTCAGTTTCCCCGCCGGTTGTTCCAGTTGATCAAATTTTGCTTTAAAAGCAAGTAGCAGTGTTGCTTTTCCCACCTCACCCCCCATCAGCTCCCGAAACGGCTTGGGGCATTTTGCTTTCGACCCCAGCGGCTCTGAATGCCTCCGGTAGGGAAACCTGCTCAGTTCCTCCAGCTCCTCGAGGCTGGCTGTTTGGGGAGGACCTTTCCTCCCCGGTCCTAGCCCACAGGGGAGGTCTCTTTCTTTCCTAATATGATCATCTCCCAGGATAGTTCAAAGCCAAGCGAAGCAGAGGTGGCTTTTTATTGTGCGGTGGAGGATGTGATGTTGGCATCCCCCCAAAAGGAGCGTCCACAGAGACAGCACAAAACCCTGACCAGCTCCGAAAACCCCGAAGTCAACGCTCGCGTGACCCTCCATTGCCCCGTCGTCACCTCTACCGAGAGGATTGGTTAGGTAGCAATAAGGCATGACCAGGTTCAAAACATTTGGTGATTTCTTATTTATTTTTTTTTTCCTTTTTTTATATATACCTATAGATATATAAAAAAAAAAAAATGTATATGAAATCATTTGGGTTTTGTTTTAGCATCTAATTTTTTTTTTTTTTTCAATCTAAAAGAAAGTGTGGATTTGGGGATCGTTAGCCTCTTCGTTATTTTTTAATCTCCTTTCTCTGCAAGACGGATGCATTAAAAATAAAACAAACCAGAGAGTTCCCTTTTCGGAGCGGCGGCTTGTCTCGCTGTCGGGGGAAGGCAACTTCAATGGTGATTTTTAATTCTGGCTTTTTGGCTTTTTTTTTAAATCCCGTGAGTTTGGGAAAGAGCGACTGAACCTCCCTCTTGCCATGGGGGGGTGAGGGGGGTTCGTCCTCTTTTAGGAGAGAGCTTGGACGAGGTTTTTCCTCTTGGCCTCTTGTAGCCGCCTCTCGATGTAGCAGAGACTCTAGAATCGAATGCAATCTCTACCGATCCCTCTGCCCTTGCCCCCCGCCCCCCCAAAAAAACCGAACAGCAACACTTGCAAAAAAGAAAAGGAAAAGAAAAGAAAAGGAAGGAGAGGAAAGAACACCCCACGCTCCTGCTACAGGTAAACCCACCCCCTTTCCTTTCCTTTCCTGCCCCGCTGGTACCAGTGAACGCTATCACAGTTCCGAGACAAAATATAGTACTATAAAATAATTTTGTACTGTATTTATTGTGTATAACAATTTTTTTAAAGAATTATGTACATTTAGTACTTCTGTGTAAATTAAATCGCTCTTCTTTTTAAAAACGGTAACAGGGCCGCGTCCGTGTGTCTGTCCGGAGGGTCAGCCAGGTTGGTTAGCGCGCGTTTTGCTGGTCGAGATGGGAAGGGGCCGGTGCCGGAGCAGCCCAGGGGCTAAAGAGAGCGCAGGGGAGGGCGGTGAAGAGGGTTGTGGGGCTGGGGCACGTGGTGGATGAGGGGAGGCTGAGGGAACGGGGCTGATTCACGGGGGACTTAATAGCCTTCAAGGGGGGCTGCAAAGAGGATGGAGCTGGACCGGTCTCAGTGGGGGTGGATGACAGGACAAGGAGCAATGGGCTCAGGCTGCAGCAAAGGCAGGTAAGGTTGGATATTCATAGTTTCATAGTTTCAGGGTCGGAAGGGACCTAATAGATCTTCTAGCCCGACCCCCCGCCAGGGCGGGAGAACAACAAAAGAACCCTAAACAAAAAACGGGACTCAAATGAGTCCAGCCAGGTAGGTATCCAGCCTCTTCTTAAAGACCCCCA